CCTTCTTCACCACACTTACTTATGCACACATTCGTCTTCAGCGTTTATGTGGGGAAGGTGATCACACAGTGATGGTTTTTGTTCTTTGGTGTCAGCTACCTGATCCCTTCAACACTTCGTGTTCACAAAGGCTTGTGTGCTTCCTCTCTGTGGGCTTTGTTGCTTCCAAGCTAAATGGCCGCTTATTTGCCTTCAAGCCTTTAATACCCCAGACTTTATATCTTTTGAGCCGGGCACCATCAGCTTTCTTCACCACATTTGCTTATGCACACTTCCTTGGTTTCATAGTTGAAGAATACTTAGCAGGAATGAAAATGAATAGTCTAAAACAAGTTTTCTTGTTATTTATGATGAAGGACCAAGGTTTGTTGTTTTCTTCTAGTTGTAAGATAATAGCATTTGCATATAATAGAAGTGAACCATTAATAAAAAGAAATAACCACATCTTGGGTGTCACAGCCAAGTCAAATTATCATCAACATTTCGAAATGCATACCCTCCGTTTGTGTACCTGTAACACAACGGTTCAGTCACGATCACTATGAACTCACACCTATCTGAAGACAACACTTTTGAGTAATACTGTACATCTTTAGGATATGTTTTTAACCGTGTTGGGGCTCCAGGGGCACAGTGAATTGCATGTTGCGCTGCTAAGTGGAGTGTTCTTGGGAGAAAGATACAGCTACCTGCTCACATAAAGATTTACATCCTCACAGGGTAATTAGCAGTCAGAATCAACACTCCGGCACTGGGTAGGTTCTAACAACCTTTATTGGATTGCCAGATCCTACAGGGTGGGGCGAACTAGCTAAAATGTTAAGTAAGCCTTTTCTTTCTGTATACAACTTGACGTTTATTTTTTTAAATAACCTAAGAGCATATATGAATCATGATAGATCATTTGAATGCTCATGTAATCTTCATAGCATATTTTTCTTGGTTCATAGCTAAAGCCAAAGCTGATCCTAGGTTTACAGATGCATAGTAAAAAGCCTCCCATTCTGGATCAGGAAGACCATGACCTTAAGAAGGTAGTTTGTCACAGTGCATGGTATAGATGAAGAAAGAGGCCTATTGTATTATCCTCAAGGTTACAGCTAATAAATGTGAGGTAACTGTGGTATGGTCATTGTTGTGTAGTATACATTACATTGGAGCCAGATTATCTGCATTGAGTCCTGGCCTCCCACTTTCTTACCCAAGCACCTTAGGCAGATATTTGGCTCTTAATCACCACACTCCAATGGTTCTAGGGTTCATGGTAGGTTACCTCTCTAGCCCAAGATCATTGGCTATAATGCACTCACTACTTGTAGTAGCTTTTCTCCTTTAAGTTAAGGTGATGTGACCAGACACTGACATGCCACATATGTCCTTGCCACCCTTGTGTACTTCGCACAGAGAAGTCAAGACGAGATGAAGGTATTTCGGGTGATGGACTTCAGCTCTGCGTGCCTCTCAGTGCTCTTCCAGGCGGTTTCTCTCTCGTTCTTTACCCTCTAACACAGGTTATGTCAGTACATTGTTACCCATTTGTCCAGTAGCTCTCAGGTGTGATGTCTGGACCAGCTGCCCCAGCAGCAGCTGAGAGTTCCTCATGTAGGCATGGCTCTGCCCCCACCCAGACCTCCTGAATCAGAAACTCAGGGGGTGAGGTCCAGCAGTCTGTGTTTTAATAAAGCCATGAGGGTTTAGCTGTAAAGATTGGTAGTTCAAACCCACCTACTGGCATCTTAGAAGACAGGCCTGGTGATCTGCTTCTAAAGGGCCGCGACCTTGAAATCCCAGGGGAGCAGTTCCACGCTGCACATTGGGGTAACCATGAGTCAGAGTTGACTCAGTGGCAGCTAACAAAGGGAAAAGAAGGGCACTAAGTGGTCACTTGCAGTTCTGATGTTCTGAAATTAAATAAATAAAATAAACACCTTTCTAAAACTGCAATTAAATACACTGGTAGAGAACCATTCTGTTTTGGATAGTTTAATAATCTTTGCTTACTCATTCATGTTTTCCAGAAACTCTGTGAAGGCATATTTAAGATCCTCGTAAAGGACATCCCAACAACATGCCAAGTGTCCTGCCTGGAAGTTCTCCGTATTCTCTCCAGAGACAAAAAGATTTTAGTTCCTGTAACGACCAAGGAAAATATGCAGATACTGCTGCGACTAGCCAAGCTAAATGAGTCGGATGATTCTTTGGAGAAGGTGTCAGATTTCCCAGTTATCGTGGAGTCGTTGAAATGTCTGTGTAACATTGTGTTCAACAGTCAGATGGCACAGCAGCTCAGTCTGGAACTTAACCTTGCTGCAAAGCTCTGTAACCTTTTGAGAAAGTGCAAGGACCGGAAGTATATCAGTGACATTAAGTGCTTTGATTTGCGCTTGCTCTTCCTCCTGTCACTTTTGCACACCGACATCAGGTCACAATTACGCTATGAGCTCCAGGGACTACCGCTGCTAACCCAGATCTTGGAAAGTGCCTTTAGCATCAAGTGGACCGATGAATATGAATCGGCCATAGACCATAATGGACCTCCTCTCTCACCTCAGGAGACAGACTGTGCCATTGAGGCCCTCAAAGCTCTCTTCAATGTGACAGTAGACAGTTGGAAGGTCCATAAAGAGGTAAGGGTGAGGAGTGTGTTCCTAATCTGTCTGGAGTTTAATTGGTCTGGGGCATCCATAGAACTGCCTGGAAGAGAGGAGTGCCAAACTGAGGAATGGAAAAGGCAGTTTCCCTCCCCCCTGTGAACGGTCCTGTGGCCCGAGATAACATTTCTTAACTTTTTATGAGTAGTTTTGTTCCATTTGCAAGACATCAGAAAGACAGGGTGAAGATGGAACACTGTTTTGTAAGATGCCAAATAAGGTGTGTTTCTGGGTTTTTTTCACTCGCTTCTTTAACAGGCTTAAATGGTAAGATCTAAAGGAAAACGAAATATGAGGTTCATAAAGTTATAGGTAGTTTCAGTGACTGCCGTCCTAAAACTTAAGCAAAATCAAACCAATTGAAGTAAATCAGAACAGAAATGCTCTGTGTGTCACTTGTCCTTCCTGTCCCAAGGGTGTCATGGTATAGGGTGTATGACTACACCTAGACATCTTTGCATGCACACAGTCCTAGAACACAAGCATAATTATACCAGCATGTGGCAGTTCTGTCACACCACTTGATTTATTCCTAGACTAAGATCTTTTTCTGTGGCCTGGACCACCCGACAATCCTAGGTTAGGCAGATTAGATAACTTATATTGGAGAACCCATAAAAGCTATGTGGTAATGGGAATCTTGGTTTAAGAAAAACAACAGTGTTAAAGAAAGTAGATATAAACTTTCTTTAAAAAATCTTAACATTTCACATCTACTTTCCCTTCAGCCTTAACCAACTATTGAAATTCAGCCCCTTCCTTTTTAAAAACATAAAGAAAGAAAGATTCTGGTACCAGAGCAAATGATTTTTTCCCCCTAACAGTTGATAGAGAACGTATGCTATCATTTTGCTCTGTCCATTTGAAACAATTCTCACCCGTGAATAGAGATCTGTTTTTGCCAGCAGCCTACTCTGAAAGGATTATCTCTGTGTGTGTGAGAGTGGGAATATGCAGGCATCTGAGTTTTCAAGTGCAAATTGGTCTGTATTTTGAAACCAAGTATTTGAAGATCAGCCCTAACAGCTGTTTTAGATGACTGCAGTATGGTCAGGTTTTCCTAGGATTTGGCAGGAAAAGCTGGAGAGAGCCTACATGCTACATTTATGCTTTGAAGCCAAATATTTGGAAGTATTTGAAATGTTATGTCTTTATGCTTACTTGGTACCTCCTTGGTTTTCTTTTGCTTTTTAACAGTTTCGATGTTTCTAAGTTCCCTAAGTCTGTCAGTTTGCCACTGTTGGAGCCGCTGCTCTTTCAATTGTGCCCATATTAGTAGCTCGCGCTGTAGAGATTTCCTGACAGAAGGGTTTCCAATTCATTGGCTGCATAACAATGCTTTGTGGGATCACATAAAATCTATCAGTTCATTGAGAATTAACCCTCTTTTGTGTGTTTCATTTATAAATAAAAGTAGGGCTAGAAGAAATTGTAGGAAATGTTGAAGAGACATGTCTCCGTCTTGTGTCATAGAGTGTTTGTTCTCAAAAAGATAAGTGATAAAGGATTAGTCCTGGAGCAGACATCTTAGCAGATCCTAGTGCCTGTTGTAGCAAGTCATGGATCAGGCGATACCACCTTTACAAAGTGCATTACTGGGCTGCAATGGAAGTTTCCAGCAACTTGAGCAGTATTGCCAACTCATTTATGAAAGAATGCCTTCATGAGTTCCCAAATTTAAATTTTACCAGAAATTCATTTGTTCATATATTTATTCAAGGCTAGTGCATTCCATGAGGAAAACCTGGGTTCGATTCCCAACTGGTGCACCTTATGTGCAATCACCACTTGTGTATCAGTGCAGGCTTGCATGTTGCTGTGATGCTGAACAGGTCTCAACAGAACTTTCAGACTAAGACAGACCAGGTATCTGCTTCTGAAAATCAGCAAGTGGAAACCTTATGGATCACAGTGGTCCAGTTCTCCATACAGGATTGACACAGAACCAGGAACATTTTGTTTCATTATTCATGGATTCACCGTGAGTTAGGGACTGACTTAAAGACAGCTAACAACAGTAGCTTTGTGACCATAGTACAAACAGTAGGTGTAGTCTCAAGAAATTTCAGTTTTGTAGGTAAGACAGAATAATTACATCATCCAAATTGTTCTAAGTACCGGTAATAGGAGAGAAACTGCAATGATTAAGACTCCTTAGTGTACTCAGAAAAGACCTGAGGTGTTTCTTTTGAGATCTGGAGACTTGGGGAGACATGCAGGGATGAGCTTTCCTAGGAAATTGAGCTGTATGTGAAAAGACAGATCCCTTTTAGGTACAGTACCCACATCTTAAGAGCAGGAAGATTTGTACTTACAGTGCAGAGATACATGCAAAGAAGAGTCTACTACTGGAATTTCAATTTTCTTGACTGTCTGATGAAAGACATGTTAGTTTAGCAAGCACCCCAAAAGCAGTATTATAAAACACCAACTGACACAAAACTATATGGACAATTTACTGTACAGAAAAATCAAACTTTTAGACTATTCATCCAATCTTATCAAGATAGATCTGTAGAGATACTAATATACATAAAAAAACCAGGCCATAGCAAGATAGGCAATCAGAGCACAGCGATGGCAACAAAAAAGGAAACAGATTACCCATAGCAGAATAAGTTAATTAAACGGGGGAAAAAATTTAAGCAGAAGGAGAAAACAACGGGACCGATGGTTTGGGGGGGGCACGGGAGATGGGGAGGCAGGGGTAAGGAGGTGGTGCTGACCAACCCAGGGACAAGGGAAGAAAAAGTGATCCAAAAACAATAGCAAGGAGGGTGCGAGAGGCCTGATAGGGATTCAGCAAGGGCA